TATGCCACAGGGATTCATTTTGGAACCCTCGTCTCTTAAAATCATTACGAATATACTGTTAAACTTTTATTCAATATTCCACGAGTCATTAAGGATAGCAAACAAACAGGATTTTTTATTGGTACCTTCTGGGCCAAATGCTTTTTTAATAGAGAAATGGACTCTAGTAAACATGAAATCATATTCAGATTTCTCTCTTTTATCGAAAAATACAAGCGCAAAGTATTCGATATACCTAATTCATAAATATTCGCAGGTAATATCCCGAGACCATGACAAATAGCCGACTATTATTTCCGTCATAATTCTATCGAGAGTACCTTGTATTTTGACAACTTGATGAGACCATATGAACATTAATAATCTGAATAACTCCCGAGAGCTTTAGCTCGAGGGAGTTATTCTATGTTTATTTATGTTCATATGGTCGAATTGAATTGTCCCAAAATAAAAGTTACTCGAGATGAATTAACGAAAATAATAGTCTCCATTTGTCATGGTCGAGTGATATTCAGGAAGATTATTTCATGAACGGTGCAAAAATACTGGTTTGAATGAGTTTCAACATTTTATTCAAGTTACAATTCTGCAGACACTATTTGAATAAAAATTCTTCTGAAGGCCGTCTGGGGTATTCTCATCATATCTACGTACAATTGTAATCAATCAAAAGTTAGAGCAAAGAAAGAATATTAACACTATTGATAGCGGTAATATTCTTTGATTAGAGCTGCTGTACTTTTCTTTCTTGTTTGAGGAAAATATTGTAGGCTCCGCCTTTTTGCATTATGCGCAACCCTGGCACCTTTGAATTCAATATATTCAAATGGATTTGTCTTACGTTTATGTTCATTGAAGTTACCTTCCTGTATATAGTTTTCCATATCAATTTCAACTGCATGTGTATTCCTAATATTCCTCACCATTCTTCTCACCCAATCTTTTAGGATTTGGGCAATCATGAGAGATGGTATAGTCGCACAAATTTCATAGTTTTTCTGCTGGCAAAAAAACATGAATTGTTCCAGATAGACTCTTTATAACTCTCCTTGTTATTTTCTGATATGGATTCGCTTACATAATTACGAATTCCCGTAGTGGAAGTTGACCCAAAACGAGACATTTCAATTTTTGAGTGACTGATAGGTATGTCAAAGTTTGACAACCATAGCACTCTTATGCTGGCGAACAGAATAGCCGCTCATATTGTTTGTCATGACATGACATCATGACATTCCATAGGTCCAGCCGGGTGTGAATGAAATAATCAGACTAACTGACAGAAAACGCCCAAAGCCATAGGGCCGCTATTGAATATACGATGTTGAAAAACACAAAAATCATTATTTCCTTTAAATGTCACCATATTATGTTTTTATATATTTTATTGTTCAATATTTCTTTCTGAATACAATGTTTTATGACATGTTAGGACAAAATTAGTTAAAATGAAAAATTAATCTCAGTTGTCGACAAGAAATGGACTCGAAATAGATGTATTGATTTCGGGAGGACGTAATTCAATGTTCTGCGTGGCAGTCCCGTTATCTACCATTATTGTTCATTTTAGGAACATTTGTGGAAAGTACTTCGAGCTTTGTATCTATTTATTTGAGTATTAATTTTTTATTTCAACTGAATTTTTCCAGAAGTCAACTTGTCAGACCTCTGATGTATTCAGAAAAAGATACTAGATTAGAAAAAAATATGAATAACGCACGCTAATATTGAGAACTTTATATATATATAAATGAATGTTTGTATATTTGTATGTCCTTTAAAGAATCGTAAACGGCTCGACCGATTTCACTAATTATTTTTTATCGTGTTTGTTGTCAGGAGATGATGGTTTCTAAGAGAGAAAAACAAAAACTTGAGAAATTCAAGGTGGCGGATCCAATATGGCGGACTAGTTTTGTAATTAAAATCGGATTCTATTTAAAATTGGTATGTGAGGGTTTTTGGGGTCGAAGATTATGATTCCTCCGTCATAATAAGAAAATTCAAGCTGGCAGATTCAATGTGTCGAACGAGCATTGTAATAAATGGTGTTTCGAAGAACTAATGGAACACGCTTTCATAAATAGTCAAACTGAAAAGAAGTAGAAAATAAATAGTAGTTCAGACAACTAAAGAGATAGATTAACGAACTGAAAAGAAGTAGAAAATGAATGTTTGAAAAACTAAGAAGTGTGTTGTTGAATATTCAACTGGAAAAATATTTTCTAGAAATGATGTTATGTACATAGCAAAACAACGTTTTCTGGGTCAGCTGTAATCAATAAAATGTGTCGAAATAAATTTAATATTCGTGTACTGTCTTCCCTTAGAATTTATTTTATTATGAAGCGCAGTAACACGCGCAGGGTTTTTTTTATCGCTTGGGGCGCACGAAAGGAAATCCCTATAATGTATAAAGAACATCGTGCGTTCCTAGGGAGGATAGGGACAGGAGGTAGGTATTGGATTTTTTTTTGAACTTCTGGAGATTATATGTTGTTGGGAATACTTCCTCAGGCAATGAATTCCAGAGCCTAGCCGTTCTATGGATGAAGGAGTTTCGATAAAATGCTGTTCGACATCTTCTGAGGTTGAAAACGAAAGGGTGTGCTGACTGGGCTTGTCTAGTTCGCCTGACTGGTCTTGCTAGTGAAGGGATGATAGCAGAGATTTCTGAAGAACATTTCCCGTGGAAGTATCGATAGAAAAGTGAAAGGTCACCGACCTTTCTACGGTGTTCCAATGATGTCAAAGAGTGAGTGAGTGTGGCGTCACCCACCAGGCGAATGGCTCTTCTCTGTATGGAATCTAAGAGCATCAGCGTATGTTTTGGTGCTGAACCCCATATGTGGGAACAGTATTCTAGAACAGGCCGTATCTGCGCTTTGTAGATCATGAGAAGCTGTTGAGGTGTAAAGTAGCTTTTCGCACGGAACAAGAATACGAGTTTTTGTGAAGCAGCTTTTGCAATGGATCTGACATGATTATCCCATGAAAGAGTGTTGCTGATGGAAATACCGAGCATAGATATGGTGGGCTTGGTGGGGATGGTGGTGCCAGACATTACAATATCGGGCATACTGAGTTCCGCCTTTCTAGAGAAAATACAGGCTTGAGTTTTGGTGGCGTTGAATTCAACTAGGTTGTTGGTTCCCCAGGCTGTGATTTCAGCAAGGTCTTCATTGACAGCATCGACCTACCTGCGCCGTGTGTTCTTAGTTTCCTGGGAAGAAATGGGAATTCTGGAAGAGAACGCAGTATGGGTACAGCTATAGTTTGAAATAAATATTAGCAGACCCTAAACTCATAGTATCTGCTCATTTGTTTTCCAAAATTTCATCATTATCAGCAGCGCTATGGCTTTTTTAATCATTCAGCTTGTAAGTAGATATATTCTTATGATGAATGGGTACTTAATATAAGATAAAAAAGTAAATGGAGAGATATTTCTCTAAAATTTTTTTTTAATATTCGATGTCTAATCTACCTACATTTTTACATATTCATGAGGTACGCGAGGGGGTGGGGGCATGGCTCCTATGGCCCCCCTTCCTGGATCCGCTTCTGTGCCTGAACGAGTTTTTCCCAACAAGTAATTTTATTGCGATGATAACAAATTTCGAACGTGTAATGGGTGCTCATTTCGAATCCTGTCTGCGCGACTTCAACAGGAAACAGGAATAGTACGTGAGAAACGAGATGATTATTTTGGTATGCCGGTATATGTAGAGATTCTGTAAGGCCTATAAGTGATGAGATGAGCGCGGTTATCGTGAATGAATAGAGTAGTAGATTGTTTTATTAGGATCAAAAGTGACACTTTGTTCGACAAGCGAATTTTGCATTTGCGAGGCGGACCGTTTAGCGATGCCACGCGAAAGCAAAATTTGCGAGTCAGACAAAGTCACTTTTGATCCGAATGAAACATGCTAGATATGATAATATGGCAAAATATAAGTGGTAGGTGATGGAATATGAGAGTTTGAGTTTGTTTGTTGCAGTATTAAGTATGTATGTTCAGAATCATCCATCAAATTGCACTTTTTATTGTGAAAATTAAGGAATATTGAAAAATAAAAATTGATTATTAAAAAAATCTCCCATTTGGATTGATCTGATGAGAAACGATTATTGTTGTCATGCCAATCAAACCTCAAATGAGTTTGTAATTGTCGCAGTGACAGACACAGCGTTACTGTCATTTTCGATTCAGTGCAATTGCCACAATGTAATCAAAAACTTCCAGCTATAAGGATGCGATATACGCGTTTTATTGAATGGTGCAACAATGAAGAAATGAATATACTGAATAAAGAAGAAGTATTTTGGCTCATTCCCTGGAAGTGTCTGAAACCTAGAGACCAAACACCTTATGGGCCTGCTGGCTTCCGCAATGAAACCATACATAATGCGTCAAACTGTAAGTTCACAATAGCTATTGCTAATAATCAGTAGATAGAGAATATATTCCTCTTGTTAGTTGTTCCTATATGAATGAATAATTAATTAAACAAATCAATCAATTTCCTACGCTTGTAGAAAAAATATTGTTCCTAACTCATGCGGAAAGTGTATTCCCCACACTCGACTGCTTGCCCGAACTCCGCTTCGCGTCGTTCGTGTCAACGGCGTGCGGGAAAGAATCACTTTCCGCACTTGTTAGGAAAATTAGCATTTCCGCACGATTCTTGTATTGTTGAAAATAAGGATATTTAGGACTAACTAAATGATCCATCTAACTATTGTCTTAACACACTAGGAAAAACTGTGTACCTATAACTCTTACGGAAAATGTCTTTTCCGCCCTTGACGACTTGCCCGAACCATAGAACTCCGGTCCAAGTCGTTCGTGCGACTGCCGTCGAGTGCGGAAAAGTACTACTTTACACACTTGTTAGGTAATTAACTATAAATAGGAGATTCTATAAGGTTTTGGTGAGAAAAGGAGAAAAACTAAAGGTTGAATAACAAAAATATGAAATCCAATTGTAGTTTTTTTTAATTTAAATATAAAAGTATATAAAAATCATTATAAATAGTCTTCATTCGAATGAATATTCAAGCAATATTTTCGATTTCCTAGTTGACAGGACACTTGTACGGCTCATTATCCCTGCAGCAAAACTCTCTTCCGGCGGACAAATTGGTTCCGTGCCATTTGTCACTGTGGTTCTTGATGAACAGATAGGCTCTTTCTTTGAAGACGTGCTCCCTATCGACCGTGGCGCAAATGATCTCGCCGCTCTTCGGCAGGTGTTTGATTATCTGAAACAATAGTAATTTACGTAACAATTCCGGAAAATACTGGCCATATACCGGGTGATCAAGATTCTGAATTCTGCACCACCCTGTATTTTTTCAATTGAATGTCAGTAGATAGTTGATCAAAAGTTGAGATAGGGACATGTGAGCCGTTTTGACTAATAATGAATAGTTTCGACAAAAAAAATTCCTAAAGTTGAAAAATGTCGATTTTCACACCCTATATCTCTGTAATCATTTCCGCTAGACCCCAAGTGTGATGCATCGATGAAATCAGCTCTTCGGAGAGAATCTGAAAATGCAATAAAATACAGGGTGTTCTATTTAAAATAACAAAGTTGTTGCTACTTTTCGATAGAAGCGGCAATGCCGCAGAGCTGAAAATATTTTAGATCGATAGACCAAGAGCAACTACGTGAGTAACCAAAATTTCAGAATGTCCCGTTCTCCGTAAACGTCTAACGTACCGTGGACCGTGAGTTACTCTGTATATCTCTCACAAACAGGTGAATATCAATTTATCATACATCCAAACAAAAAAAATAATAATTCTTATTTGTATCAAATACTGAAATTTGAACAGAATACCTACACCTTCTAACTGTTACATTGGAATTTTCGTATGGACATTTTCAAACTCACTATCGCTACTGCTTTCCATAGTTTATTGCGATAATTGCAACCAAAATTTCAAAAATCAAAATTACAACAAATTTCCTGTCAAATAGCTGTCAGCCCATATTTCGCTGCTATGGTAATTATCATCTGCATTCATCAAAACCATATCTACCAAGATTTTCATACTTACACTGGCAACAACGATGTGATAGTTCCCGGCTTAATCCGGGAAGTGCGTACTTCCCGGACTAGGCCGGAAAAGGGAATTCCTGGTGTCAGGTTAGGCAAAAAAAATTGGTCACCGAAAAAATTTGCAAAATTGTTCGCCCTGTAACTTTATCAATTCTTGTCCGATTTTGTGAAATTTCGACCAAATCGTAAATTCATGTTTCGGGATGTCAGCCTGAATATTAGGTCCTAAGAAAAGCTGTTGGCTTGATCATTATACAGGTAATTAACAAAAGAAACTGTGTCGCCCTTATTTTCTTAACGCGCTGTGGCAATAGTGTTAAACTGTGTTAAACATAGCTTTATTATGTTTTGAATTGAAGTGTGATCCCTCTCAATACAATGTTTTCTGATTCACATCGATAACCACTTTTTAAGATAACATACAAGTGTTTTAAAGAAAGTATATATATTTTTTTGATTAATAATAAGTCATAACCATTCTTCAACCTTCTGCTTCATCATGTTTTGATTTGAAGTGTGTGATCCTTTTTCGTCCCTTCTCAACACAATGGATCCAGATTCACGTCAATATCTTCTTTTCAAGAGAAGATACAAGTGTTTTGAGAGAGTATTGATTTTTTAAATTTTTATTAACAATAATTCAGAATTATTCCAGACTTATTGGGATTTTCTCTCCTCGTTTCTATGAAATAACAATATGAATATTATTTCAATATACGTGTAGTAAGGACAAATCAGATGATTTGCTCCAAAATGTTACTGCGGTTAAAGAATCTTCCTATCAGAGAGCCTAATAGAAAAATTCACTAGCTTGTCAGTGACAATTTGTATTGAAAAAGGTTTGGAGAAGAGAAATAAAGGTATACATAGATAAAATATCAAATTTTCACTCAGCTTTGGACGTGTCGGAAACGAATCTGCTCCCGTTTTCAACGTGAAAAATGGATATTTGCATAGCAAATTCGTATTCGTCTTGACACTTCCCAGTTCTCAGTGACAATTGGTGACGTTGGCAATCAAATAAGTTACAGGATGTTTTCATCAATTAATCTTGAATTCACTTTTTTCATTTTCAGATTTCAGTAGTGTATACCATGTTCTATCTATATCAACTGAACAGGAGGCAATGCTATTGTCTACGTTCAGAAGAATGCAAGCAGATTACTTGATTTTTCTCTTCTCAAACAAGCGTTTGTTGGACATCTTGTCCAAAATGACTCGGACTACAAACTACAATATATCAAAAGTCAATTCGAGAAGGGTCACCATCCCCTACAAAACGTGTAGTATCCTATCCGTATATTTAAACAGCTTCTTTACAGGGTTCATCATTGAATAAGATAGGAAAATACTTCAAATACAAAAGTTGTAGGGTACCAACTTCGTTATTTACAATGGAACACCCTATATATTAAAAAAAAATTGACATTTCTTTCTGATTTCAAAAATATATAGATTGTTGATATTCGGTTCAGCAGTTTTCAGAATATTCGCGGTTGTACATTTTTCAGTTACAATTTGGTTTCACCAAATCGCAGTTGCAATCAGCAACACATAGGGAAAGAAAATATAACAGGAAGTTTGAGTGAAGACAACCTGCATATTATGTGTTGTTGATTCTTCATGACAATTGCGATTTGGTAAAATATAAGACTATAACTAATTATAAAATGTTCGACCTCGAATATTCCATAAAGGGCTGATCCGCAAACAACAACTTTTATATTTTTGAAATCAGAGAAGAAAGATCTTCCATTTCTTCGAAAAATATATAGGGTGTTCCTTTGAAAATAACGAAGTTGGTACCCATTTCTTATATCAGCGATGTTCATTTGTTTCACCTCTTACAATTTTCTGGAGATTCAGAACAAACCCTACAACTTTTGTATTTGAAGTTATTTTCTATCTCCAATGTTAAACCCTGTAGAAGCTGTTGAAATATAGGGAATGACCCTGTACACTTCCTATAATAGTCTCTGATCGTGCTTTACCACAATATTAGGAGTTATATTATAAAATAACAGCTGAAAATCACGGCTCCACCTGTTTGAAGTCCGTCGTCCATACACACCAGGCTGAGATGATTATAATTCTTCTGGTGTGCCCACTCTTCAATTGTTTCGTCAGACTAGCTCTCGATATGAACAATTGAATGCGAGTTCGGAACGTGGGGTTTTCATATTCGATGATAGATGGCGTGAACAATAGACAATTTTTTGAAAAATGTCAAAATGCGTTTCGAATCCTATTATGAAGTTAAACTAGAGTTTCAAAGATGTGTTTTCCTTCTTTCGGGACCTGAAGAGTCCCGTTGATGATGCACGAATTCAATAATAGCTGATGAGAAACATCTAGACACAGGTCGCAAAAGAGACAGGGCACAACAAATAATCCCTGCGAAAACATCTTCATCTTGACATATCTGTCACGAGTGTCATGTTTTCGGCATATTCAAGATTTTCTTCAAATTTCAAATAGAATTATTAAGCGGATATTGATATTAGATTATGAGTTGAGTGAGTGTATATTGTGCTCATGGACTGACTGCTGCAATGTGTGAGGATTATTTGAAAATCCGAACATTGTGAGTAAATAAACTCTTATCACAGGGTTTTCTCGAGTTAGGACTTCGTGTCGTTCATGAATTCACCATTGAAAGGTGAAAATATGACGCACCGTTTCCATTTAAACAAAAAATTGTGGAAATGAATTTGTGAACTCAAATGAATGTGTCATGATGCCTGTAAATTTGGTTTGAATCTTCGGAAATTTAGCAAGATTTTTCCCACGCCTCGCTATTTTTACAAAGTAAGCGATATCGAGAGATTTCGAAACTTCATGAATTCACCATTGAAAGTCGAAAATATGACGCACCGTTTCCATTTAAACAAAAAATTGTAAAAATGAAATTGTGAACTCAAATGAATGTGTCATGATGCCTGTAAATTTGGTTTGAAACTTCGGAAATTCAGCAAGATTCTCCCACGCCTCGCTATTTTTACAAAGTAGGCGATATCGAGAGATTTCGAAACTCCTTTCAATAGGAAGTGATAATACCATTTGACTTTCTGTACATCTATCACCAGACGATCGGGGTGAGCTCCCCCATCGAAATAAATTTTCCACCCTGGTAATCACGGTGGAAAACCGGTCGAGGATGCTCTCAAGTACAAGTATAATGATTGTATTTATACGAAACATGAAACATGGGTGGAGATGCGCTGTCCTGTCACGAACGTATAAGGTGGTGACTTTGAATAATTCTCGAGAGACGTTAAAAAACGTTACAAATTTCAAATAATGAACAACAGAACAGTTCAGCTATTGTTGAGAAAGAAAAAATATGTGCATATTACATTTTTTCGTCGACCTCAAACAGTTATATTCACACCGATCCTATTCACACGTGAAATCTATCGAATTTCGTGAATAATCAATTTGACAACAGCAAATGACAGTTGCTGTCAACTCACTCTCCGCGCGGACCAGGGTTGCCAGTTCGATTTTTATTTCATCAGTAAATACCTTGTCTAAAATTCAGTAGATTTCAATAGATCTGTTCAAGATCTATCTTATGCTATACGAGTTCCAAGAAAGAATAATGAAATATACCTATGACGTCAAAACATTATGTACTTTTGGTAAACAGAAACGAAAAGAACAAAATAGAAACTAACAGAACAAATATTCTCATACGAAAATAATCATATTCCTAATTCTCAATTCAGAAATACTCACAAAGATCACAAAATACAGTTACATAGGTACAGTCGTCTGCAGAGATCATGCCGTGGTTGGACGGTGTCAGCGCTCTTATTTCAGGAGTTATTAAGAATGCTATCATTGTTCATTTGCGACATGTTTTCTGAAGACGACTGTACTTATTAGATTAGAGTATATAAAAAACAGGAACAAATTGAAAAATAAACAGCAACTTTACAAAACGAATGGAAAAATTGAACGAAAGAAAGAAACTGTCATAGCAGAGGTATATAAAATAGTGAATTTGATCTCAATCAAATAAAGTATTGTTTTTTTTTTCGTTTATACATATCATGCATGTGATTAACTAATGATTGATAATAATATAATATATTGGTACTTATAATAATGAATAAGAGTCGGAATTTGTTTTAGATTATGAAATGTTTCAGTACATCAGAGATTTACTGAAAATTCAGTAGAACTGGCAA